CTACCTGCTTTACTTCCAATGTATATAAGCTAAGCGAGTCTGGGCGTTTAGAGTCAAAGTAGTCTAAATGCAATTCATATTAGTATGATGTAATTTTGATAACTTAAAACTAATTTGAGAAATGTGCAAATTTTCCAAAGGTGCGCACAAACGTGTTGGCGAAGGTGTGAAACATGGCGTAAGTAAGATTGTGATGCATCATGGGTACGTTGGTGGAGTTCACAAAGACCATGACATCGCACTTCTAAAGCTGTCAAAACCAGCCCTATTAACCAAGACAGTCAATACAGTATGCCTACCAACTCAGAACGAATCAGTGATCAATAGAAATAAGTGTTACGTCACAGGTAACTTCCTATTCTTGCCTTTTTGTGATGTAAAGGGCCATGGACAACCGGCATTCAATGCGGTCGTGTTTTTTAAAATAATTCGTTAGATAATCCAAAAGTAAAGGATGTCCTCGCCCATTGTTGTTGGGAGGTGTTTGGCGATAAAGACGGCGCTTAAGGACGTTCGAGGGCATTGCTACTGCGCACGCTTTCTGCGCACGCAAAAACCGGAAGTTGTCACGAAATTGCATCACGCAAAACAAAGAAGGCGACCGCTCTTGTTATGTGTTTGTGAGGTTTTGTACGTACTTTTCTGAACTTCTACTTGTATGCAAAATGTCTTCACGTTCAAAAAATGGGAGATTTACTACAGCTAAAGAATTGATGAGGCGAAAAAGTGTTCAAAATGCTCTAAAAAGTCGTAGATTGGCAGAAAAAAGTCTCTCGCAATTCAAAATGGCCTGCAAAATCTTAGGTTTCGTGACGAAATATCTTGACAACGAACCCGGTAACCCCAATTTCTATTTATCTTTAAAGAAGGCAACTTGGAAAAAATATAACATATGTGAAAGCGGAAAAAACGACATCAGAGGTTTCTRAAATATAGCAGTTTTAGCTGGAAATGACACCTCTTCTTGACGTCGAATGTGGCGGCTTGACACCGACAAAAATCCTAAAGAAATCAAAAATCACATCATGTAATGTTTCAATATTTGCAATTATCGACCTCAGCTTTTGTGGAAAAATTTGGATCAATTGATATGTCTTTTATATTTTTCGGGAACGTTTTTGGAAGACGGCATCGACCCCTTTTCGCGCGCTTTTCTTTGACAATTTTGGTGATTTTGTGCAAGAATTATCTCTAAAATGAAGCCGGTGACCTCCACTTTTTTATCGCTTTTTTACAAGTTTATGTCATCGCGTATTCCCCCAAAAAATTTCATCGAAGTGACATCAAGGAGTCCAATGCCAACGAACGTCCTTAACGGTCTCTGTTTCTTTAAGGTTGGGGTAGGATGTACGGCTCGGTGATGTTCCATCAAGCATACAGACTTCAACAAGGCTACACCCCAATAGTCGATCACGCGACGTGTAAAAAAATGCTCAGCAAGTTCCACGTCAACGCGAAGACTATGCTCTGTGCTGGTGGACGCGGAAGCAGTGCTTGCAGTGGRGATAGCGGTGGTCCGTTAGTTTGTGAGGAGCAGGGACGTTGGGTCCAATATGGTGCGGTGTCCTGGGGAACGGACTATAAATGCCCCGTTGATACGTAYGTGGTTTACGTGAGAATCAGTTCGTATTTGAAATGGATTAAAGATATCACGRGTAAGTGTTTGGAGATCAACTCATTCAGGGGAGTGACTCACTCGTATTTTAGGCTGGGGGTTTTCGTCGGAAATGTTAAGAAAGTAACCCTAAAAGACACCCGTCTCTTACGAAAAAAAAGAGCGTGCCAACACAATATTTTCACAGCCTCTTTAATAATGGCAACAGGGTAACCAGTACTTTAATGAATATGACTTAATTTCATGTATGTATGTATGTATCCTAGGGGCATCTCAAACTTGTCGAATCGCATTGATACTGTTAGACCTTTTATGGTGATTGCTCTT